GAAGATGATTGTTTCTAACCCAATATGGTATTTCCTGTGTTCTGAAATACGCAATATCTCTAAATTTTAAAGGGGACAATCTTATGAATAATGGATTTGTAGAATTAAAACTAAAACAGTGTTATTTATTTACTGTTTTCTGAAGTTTAATTATTGAGTCTATATCAGTTTTATATGCATTACCCTGAACCTCAACACATTAGGACATGTATGGCACTGTAAGTGAAAAATAAAGTAAATGCACAACTTATACTTAACAATTCTCTAGTTTTAAAACCAGTGGCAACCCAGTTTGATCATTTTTGTCTTATATTCTATATGTGGCTTCCAACAGTTTTTCCATCAACAATAATTCCCAACAATTTTCTCTCAGATACTTTCAATTTCAACTCCAAGAAATTTCAGTTTTATGTCATAACTAACGCTAGCTCCACTAAAACACCTTGAATTTTGTTTTACTCACATTTAAAACCATTTCATCAATATCAAGCCATTTTTTCAATAACATCAGTTGCCTTTACTAATTCTTCCATACCATTTCCTGAACAAAATCGACCAGAATTATCTGCAAGTGTAAAAAAAAAAATCCAATTTGTGATAATCTAAAAATGTCATTTAAAAATAAACAAATAAATTTGGCCCTACAGCTTCTGTAGCCGAGGATCAGACCGCCAGGGTCCCCGTCCTCGGCCACCACCCATCCCACATTGCACCCGACCCCTTTTGCCCCTCCCACAGGTGGTGAGCCGATGGGAAGGGGGACCCACGTCTCCTCTTTGGGCTGTGCTCGGCCGAGCTCCATGGGTATAAGCCTGGCCACCAGGCGCTCGCCCGCGTGCCCCACCTCCAGGCCTGGCTCCAGAGTGGGGCCCCGGTGACCCACGTCCGGGCAAGGGAACACTAGGTCCATTTATTTGTGTCATCATCGGGGTCTTTGGGCTGCACTTTGTCTGGTCCCTGATCTAGGACCTGTCTGCCATGGGTGACCCTACTAGGGGCATAAAGCCCCTGACAGCATAGCTCCTAGGATCATTGGGACACTCAAACCCCTCCACCACGGTAAGGTGGCAACCCAGGGAGGGGGATCGATAGGCGGATAGGTGCAGCGTCTGCAGTGAAGCGGGCGCTGTACAGGTCTGTCGTGGTGAAGAGAGAGCTGAGTCAAAAGGCGAAGCTCTCAATTTACCGATCGATCTACGTTCCTACCCTCATCTATGTTCATGAGCTTTGGGTTGTGACCAAAAGAATGAGATCTCGGATACAAGCGGCCGAAATGAGTTTTCTCCGCAGGGTGTCTGGGCTCTCCCTTAGAGACAGGGTGAGAAGCTCGATCATCCGGGAGGGACTCAGAGTAGAGCCACTGCTTCTCCATGTCGAGAGGAGCCAGTTGAGGTGGCTTGGGCATCTGTTTAGGATGCCTTCTGGACGCCTCCCTGGTGAGGTGTTCTGGACACGTCCCACCAGGAGGAGGCCCAGAGGAAGACCCAGGACACGCTGGAGGGACTATGTTTCTCGGCTGACCTGGGAACGCCTTGGGATTCCCCCGGAAGAGCAGGCCCAAGTGGCTGGGGAGAGGGAAGTCTGGGCCTCCCTACTTAGGCTGCTACCCCCGTGACCCGACCCCGGATAAGCGGAAGAAATTGGATGGATGGATTTGGCCCTACAATTGAACCTTGGGGAACACACCACCACCACCACCACTCTTCTACAATATGATTCCATCCATCCATTAGCTTTACTCTTCTTTTCTGGGTCGCAGGGGTCACTGGTGCCCATATCCAGCCATCACTGTGTGAGAGGTGGGGGACACCTGGACAGGTCTCTAGTCCATCACAGGGACACAGAGACAAACGAGACAAACAACCATTCACTCTCTCTCTCACCTAGAGACAATTTAGAGTTACCAATCAGTCTAACATGCATGTTTTTGGTCTGTGGGAAGAAACTGGAGTAACTGGAGAAAACCCACGCATGCACGGAGAGAACATGCAAACTTCACTCAGAAAGGTCCCCCGGCCCAATTTGAACCGGCAACCTTCTCACTGAAAGGCAACAGCTCTACCTACTGAGCCACCATGCAATATGATTCAATAGTATTAATTTGAACCTACTGACACAGATTATTTAACTTGTCAGCCATTGTTTGCTTATACATGTTATACCATAATGTTCCAGTTTATGTAATAATAATGATCAATAGTATTTAATACTCTGCGTAAATCAATAAATACACCTAAAGTATGTAATTTCTTGCTGATGAAATATGTTCTACAAAGTTGTTGACCTTTACTTCTAAACCCATACTGATGATCATTCACTAACTCATATTTCTGAATGCATTTACAAAAACAGTAACTTTTAAATTGAGGTAACAGACACATCTCTAAATTGATACATTTGTCACCATTTTTACTAACTGCCTTGGCAATTTTCATTTTATCAGAAAAAAAAGCACCTCTTGAAAATGATCCATCACAAGTGGCACTTTTTGGTTTAATTAACTTAATTAACATAACTTTAACAAAAATGCACACAGGCACAAGCAAAAACATCACTTCTGGTTTTCAGAAGATAAGAATCGAGGCTGACTGCATCACGCCGAGGCAGATAAACTTTATTTACAAATCTAGTTGCAGTCAAAGACAGTAAACAGAAGATTATACCTCTCATGGTAACACCGGCTCTAAACTCTAAAACAGGTTTGGCACTAAACAGACACAAACTGCGTAACGTTATTTTGTACAAGTTACAAAACTGTGTCACAAATACTTTTTAAATCTCAGCCGAGTAGTCTCATTATAGAGTAATACTTCAGTGTAAAAACAACAACCACGAAGAAAAAGCAATCTTGTGCAGTAAAACATTTCATTTCTTACATGAACTAGTGCATTTTGTTTTGTCCTCTTTGATGGAAATGTGGAAAAAGGATGAGTTTTGATTTTGAAGTTAGTGGAAGAATAATTGATAACAGCATCACAGTGACACCTAGAACCAACAACAGGAAGGACTTTGTTGTGAATTTGCGAAGACCATGATAGAAATGCTGTAAAAAGACCTCAGAAACAGTTTGCAGCAATGCAAAAGAAAACCCACTTACGCTTCAGAAGCCTTTTTAATTCAAACATCTTGTTGGCATCATATTTGCTTCTTCTCTCTTAAGACAACTCTTACTGAGGGCAATGTAGAATAAACTGAATTTCATTCATATGTCATAATTTAAATGTATCCATGTACTAAAGTATGTATACCTTATGGAAGCCTAGTTCCAGCCCTCTAATAAAAAAAAAAAATAAAAAATACTTCAGTAAACATTATGAGATTCAAAATTATAACTGCATCTCATGAGGTCCTAAATAAAAGTTTTGAAATGACAAGTTATCATTTTGACGTTTGTAATTATGATTTTTTTTCTTCTGAGTGGCAGAAATTGGCTTCCATATAAATTTTCTTGTTAAAATAATTGATCATTTCATTTTTAACCCTATTTTAAATTTACTAAATTACCTATTATCTATTTTTGCAACATTTTGGAGATAAATACAGTAGTCCCTTGTTTATTGTGGGGGTTTCTGTTCTCAACCATCACACTATAAGTGAAAAACAGCGAAGTAGGAATAGTACGAATATATGTATATATATATACATATATATATACATATATATATGTATATATATATACATATATGTATATATATATACATATATACATATATATATATACACATATATATATATATGTATATATGTATATATATAT